CAGTGATACTAATAGTTGCACCTCAGATGGCCACTCGCAAACTTTTATGATCCCAGTCACTCCCAAAGTAGGATGTAGAACATTGTCTTTTTGGACTTTTGTTACATCAGTTTACTTTGGTGTCCCCCAAGACTCTAGTCCTGAGCCATCAGGCCCAGCGACTCATTCTCTAAGATGTTTTATTATAACTAAAGTTTTATAGCCACTTTACCACAGTTTTCAGATTTATGTGGAAAAGAGATTCCAAAGTTTTAAGATTTATGATGTACCATCTTAGGTTTATACCAAATCATTAGCTTTCTTTGGGATTCTGTTGAAATGAGTCTAAGGTGTATTTTCATGCTCCTGCTTTCTTTCCTCACTTCTCATGGTTTTGTTCATGTTTCCCCCTTTACTATGAGAATCTGCTGTTATCTATTAACAGTACAACCATTAAAAAAGTTGATTGCTATTTTCAATAGTGAGGAAGATGGGCTGAAGGTCAGAAAAGAGGTAAATTAAACTATATTTATTTTTGTTTATCCTGACCTATACATAAACTGGCAAAGACCTAAATTGGATGACCCTCCCTATAGATTTAAAATTTTAGATCAAATCTCAAAGAGAATATACTGGGGAAAATATGGATAATTAGAGGTTGTTAGAGGAGATCATTCATTTTTTTCTTGGGTATATGAGAGTTATATTTCCATTGTATCGGATAATCATTCAGGTCTACTGGCAGTACTGCCCACCATATTCACTTCACATACTGCAAGTAAGTTAGAGACGTCTGCTAACGTCTAGGGAACCTAAGTTAGAGAATAGAAGGCTTATCACCATTGTAGAATATTTAGTTTGAGTTAAATGCAATTCTTAATCATTTATGAACTGATATCATTAGCAATAGGCTATATATAGAAAGGGACTTTTTTTTTAATATACAAGTACATATTCTCCGGTTAATGTAGATAGTACAAAACCTGTTTTTCTGACCTGTGATAAGTACCTTAACTTGATTGGGTGTGTTTATTCTAGATAAAGTTTACATTTTTAAGTCTCTTTTATACTACGTGAACTGTATTTAAACTATCCCCTTTCTATCTTTTGAGACTTTACTTTGTCCTGGGTGCTTTTCTTTCTTTTATTTTTGTTAGACTAACCTGGCCATGGCTCCCTTTTCTCTCGTCATAGCTGTGTCCTTTCTGAAACTCAAGGTGCTTTTTCTTTTTGGTTTGTTTTCTTTTCAAATATGTTGAGTGAAAATAATTACTATCTTTTAAGGATATTTGGATTAAGGAGTACTTAAAATTTCTATTAATACTTTACACATGGTTAGTTACTCTTATGAAAATGATGAGAGATTGGTTTTGATATTTTCAAAGATTTCAAGTTAAAATAATTTTTAAGATTGGACTTTCATGTACAATAGAGAGGTGTACAATGATTAATATGGGGAAATATGAAAGACAAAAACAGATTCTCAAAAAAAACCCCAACAGATTCTCAATGTGCACAAAGAAGCTAATGTTGATAAGAAATGCCTTAATCAAAATAATCTTACCTTATTCTCTCAGGAATGGCATTTTAGAAATTTTCTTCAATTTACAGGGTTTCATTTGTCCTTTTCTAGTTTCTTGCAGTGGAATTCAGTGTTAGTGAGTTGAGACCTTTCTAGCTCTCTGATATACGTGTTTAGTCTATCAATTTCCTTCAAAGTACTGCAGTAACAGCGTCCCACAAATTCTGATGCTGTAGTTTTGGTTCAGTGTAAAGTGTTTTCTAATTTTCTCTTATGTTTATTTATGGTTTATTCAGAAGTGTGTTATTTAGTTTCTACTTGGAGAGTTTCCAAAGATCGTTTTGTTAAAAATTTCAATTTAATTCCTTTTGTGCTGAGAAAACAAACTTCAAGAGACTTAATTATTTTGCATTTATTGAGACTGGTTTGATCTCCAGAATGGTTCCACCATGATAAATAGCCCATGTGTACTTAAGAAGGTGTATTCTGCTGTTTGGAGTTTTCTATTTGTATATTCATTTTATTTTTTGTGATTTGGGTGTGTATTATTTTCTCTCTACTATGATCAGTTATTGAGAGAGTAGTGTTTAAATCTCTTGACTAAATTGTTGATTTGTCTGTTTCTTCTAGAAATTCCCCGTTTTTGTTTCATGTTAAAATAATTGTTATATAAACTTTTGAATCATTATGACTTTTATTCCTCTTACTATTTCTTGCTCTGACAGCTACTTTGTCCTTAATAGTGCCACTCCATTGTTCTTCAAATATCTATGTCTACTAAGATCCAAATATCTTACTATTGTTTTGCATTTGATAATAAAAATAGTTCTTGTTTTCTGAGGACTTAATCTATAGAAGAAAAAGACAAGCTACTGGTAGAGTGTGATCATCATGCGATTGACAGCAGTTCTAGGAGGTGACAACTTAATCAATCTAGAATTGAAAGTCAACTAGGTGTGAAAGGGCAAACGTGGGACAGAATTGGGGAAGGGAGCACGGCATACCAAGCAGGAAGGTGCTGAAAATAGGTTGGTTAGAACATAGTGTAAGTATCAGTGTGACAGGATGTGTTTGGAGAGGTCATTAAAACCAGATCATGACGAGACTTGCAATGATAATGGTGGCTCTCATTTCCTGAGCCAGATATATGATGTCAGGATTAAATGATATAACCTATTAGTTAATGTTATAAACGAAAAACCAAACTCACTGCAATTGAGTTGATACCAAATCACAGCGACCCTATAAGACAGGATAGAACTGTCCCTGTGGGTTGCCAAGACTCTGTCTTTTTTTTTTTTAATCATTTTATTAGGGGCTTATACAACTCTTATCACAATCCATACATCCATCAATTGTGTAAAGCACATGTGTAAAGCACATTTGTTGCCTTCATCATTCTCAAAACATTTGCTCTCCACTTAAGCCCCTGGTATCAGCTCCTTATTTCGCCCCCTCCCTCCCTGCTCTCCCTACATCTTCTTTTTTTAAATAAATCGTTTTATTGAGGGTTCTTATAGCTCTTATACATCAGTTCTATCAAGCACATTTTAAAATCCGTTGCCATCATCATTTTTGGGAGTAGAAAGCCTCATCTTCTTTGCAGAGCGGCTGCTGTGTGAAACTGCTGACCTTGCAGTTAGCAGCTCAAGTGGGTAACCGCAGCACCACCAGGGCTCCTAGAGAATGTTACAACCATCATAAAATGAGGAAATAGAAATGCAGAGTGCATAGAAATGAAATAGCTTGCCCCACAGGCAGTTAATGACAGAGAATTTAACCTTGGTCATTCTGGTTATAAAACTCAATTTTTTTACTTGAGTTTGAACTTGGTTCTATGGGCAATATAAAGCTCTTTTACGATTTTAAACAGGGACACAAATAAACTAAGTAGATAAAATTTGTATTTTAAAAGCATCAGGCTGCCCATAATTTTTGTTGAGGTGTATAGAAGGATCCTGGTGATATAATTGAACATTTTTAAATGTTCCCTATGTAAGGAGTATATTAATTTTCAAAATGAAAATAGTTATTTAGCCCACTGTGGTTACATTTCCTTGTCTACAAATTGGGAATGATAATGGTTGCTATCTAATAGGAGTACAAAATAACTAGCATAATTGTATATAGTACATGCTTCATAAAGATTAACTGTGATGAGATGGAGGAGTCCTGGCGACACGGTGGTTACACGTTGGGCTGCTAACTGCGGGTCAGCACGGCAGAGCCACCAGCCTGTCTGCAGGAGAAAGATGGGGTTTTCTACCCTGGCACACAGTGACACTCTCAGAAACTCACAGGGCAGGCCTGCCATGTCCTCCAGGGTCACAGTGAGTCAGCGTGAACTCAGTGGCAGTGAGTCTGAAGTTTTTGTTGTTGTTTTAGTTTTTAAGTTGTTTTTTTTTTAAGTGATGATGATGATGATAATGATGGTGATGATGGATTGATTAATCTTAGAACTCAAAGCTAGAATTTTAATCCAGTTTTAATTTTCTTTCATTTTAGTGCTTATAATAGGACTTAGAGATATGACTTCAGCACACTATTAAAATTTTAGCTCTGACCATGAGCAATTATTTTTTGTTGTTTTGCTTTGCAGTTTATGGGGAAGCCTGATGGGGACTATTACACTCTGGACGACATGTTTGTTTCTAAAGCTGCTGAGAGAGAACGTCTTGGTGAGGAGGAAGAGAATCAGAGGAAAAGAGCTATTGCTGAGCACCAGCGTCTTGCTGCACAGATGGAAAAATGTCTGTATTGTTTTGACAGCTCTCAATTCCCTAAGCACCTTATTGTGGCAATAGGTGTTAAGGTAAGAATGGAAACATTTATCTGCCTAGGAGATTTTTTAAGTTGTGTAGATTTGTCTCTTTCTTCATACCCTTCAGAAATTCCTATAGAATCTTTCTTCCTTTGCTGTAATCTCTAGTATTTTTGTTTTTCAAATTTCCATGATTATTACTCTTTAAAGTGACCTGAAGCTTTATTTAAATGACATCAAGCTCACACCTTGTGTGATTCTATAAAAGGCGGCCCTTGAATAAGTGGTGGCTAAGCCCATGGATTCAAATTCTGGCTCTGTCATTTGCCAGCTTATGTTCGTGATTACCATATACTCTTATTTTCCTGATTAGCACTTTCTTAGCAGGAAAATCACCTCAGACAATTCAGTCCAAAGTAACTTCTGCTTCTTCCCTTACTTTCACTTAAAATTCTGTTTGATACTTCATAGATATCTACAATTCAAAGAAGTTTATGATATTTGTTTGTTTGCTAGGTGTCTGCTAGGTGCTTCATTATTTTATTTCCTAACTTCACCCTGGACACTGTCTAGACTTTTTCTGCTTCATTATTTTGATGCTCTAGAGCAGTGGTTCTCAACCTTCCTAATGCTGCGAGCCTTTAATACAGTTCCTCATGTTGTGGTCACCCCCCTAACACAAAATTATTTTCGTTGCTACGTCATAAATGTAATTTTGCTACTGTTATGAATCGTCATATAAATATCTGATATGCAGGTTATATTTTCATTGTTACAAATTGAACATAATTAAAGCATAGTGATTAATCACAAAAAATATTGAATTATATATTGTGAAATATTTATTTCTATTTACAAATAAATGAAATTTTGTCTTGAAGCATGGTGTAACATGGGTAACAGTCTTAATATAGTAACAGTAAACTACATTGCTACATTTTGGGACAGTATGTGTAAAAAGCCAACGTCAGTGCGAAGGTTAAGAGAGCTTCTTTCTCACCGGATCAGCATATCTGCACGTGGATGGACCCGCCTGGAGATGCATAGAGGAGCGGGCTATTGGTTCCTAAGACCCTGGGAAATATGTGTTTTCCGATGGTCTTAGGCGACCCCTGTGAAAGGGTCGTTTGACCCCCCAAAGGAGTTGTGACCCACAGGTTGACAACCGCTGCTCTGTATCAAACTATATACTATATACTATACTATATTTGTGACAAACTATATTTGAGGGACTTCAAAAATTCATGGAAAATGAAATTGGAAGATAAAATTATATAAATTTTATTTTTCAGTAATAGTGCCCTCAAAGTCAAGACACTTTTTATAAATGATGATACCAGCTCCATAGCCTATCCCTAAAGAACTGAGGGTCCTGAGAATTTAACCACGTTGATGCCATCTTTTTTGCATTAACCAAAGAAAAATGGGTGTACTTTCTAGTTTTTTAAAAAATTAAGTCTGAAAAGAAAAAGATTAGTCTTAAACAAAAAAGCCAAAAGCCATCAAAATACTTCAGTGGATGCCTCATGATTCCCCATCGAAACTTGCAGATGGCCCTTGTTTGATGAGACGCATGAGCAGGAGCATGGCTGTGGTGCAGAAGACTTTGGTGAGACTTTCCTAGGCAATGTTATGCTAAAGGTTTGGCTGACTTTCTCAGAAGACTTTCAGAATAATCAGAGCATTCCCCCAAAACTTTGCTCTGGCCCAGGTCAATTTTACTCTGGCTGAACCACTTCCACCTCTTGGCAGCAAATCTTTTGATCATGCATTGTTTTCGGAAGTGTGTGTGTTAGTCTGGGTACTTTAGAGAAACAAATCCACAGAAACGCATATATATATATATATAAGAGAGAGTGTTATATAAAGGGTAAGTGCACATCAAGAAAACAGCCCAACCCAGTGCTGCCCAAACCCACAAGTCAACATTAATGCATATGTCCGACACCAATCCACAGTCTTCCTCCATCTCACAAAACACACGCAGTGATGCCGACTGCAGGAAGAAAGCTGAATCAGTGAGCATGTAAGCATCTCAGTGCTGGCAGGGGTCTCCACACGGCTGCTCCAGCACTCAGGGCTGCATCGGGGTAGGCCCCGATAAGCTTCTGAGACTTTGAATCTTTGCAGGAGCAGACAGGCTTGTCTTTTTTCTTGAGAGCAGTTGGTGGATTTGGACCCAGGAAGAAGTTTGACTGTGCTACTGAGGGGTTCTTCAACACCATCTCGTCCCTTCTTTAAGCAAGTTACCCATTTGTAAACTGCTGATTTCTGTGGGGATCTTGTTCCATTAACTATTCCTAAGGCATCACTATAAATTTGATACATATTTTTTGTTACATGTTAAGCAGAATTCATATTTCTCTGATAGGAGCTCTTTTCAAACTGCTGTCTTATCCTTCTTAGTGCCTCAAAATAGATTTTTGTCCAGACATGTTATAACAAGTTAGTATGAGTTTATTTTGGTATAAGAAAAATTGGATCCTGTATAGTCTTTTTATAATACACATTTTCCACTAGCATTTTGAAGACCCCTCATATTTTATTGGTTTTTCTTGCCTCATTTTGGCAGGGATTTTTGTCTCTTTGTTCATTATTGACTCTCTGGCACCACTGTTAACTCATAGTGATCCTGTAGGACAGAGTAGAGCCGCTCCGTAAGTTTCAACCAGCATCCACCCTCTCAGGTAGAGGCCTATGCGTAACCCATTGCATCATCAGTGCACCTCATAACATACCCCAAACCCACTGCTGGTAAGTTGATTCCAGTACAGAGGGGCCGTATATAGGGTTTCTGAGGCTGTGAATCTTCATTGAGCAATTATAAATAAAGAATCATTGTCAGCCCACATACCCTTATACTCTTGAGAAAACTGATACTGCAGGGCTTTTACCTAGCTCTCTGTATAGAGGTTAAAGTATCATTCCGTCTGCTCTGGGGTAAGTTCAACCTGTGTATGATGTATAACCATGAAAATGGAATCGTGGGTTCTGAATTTCTAAGTTACTGATAATAGCTTTAAAATATTTATAGGCAAGTATACTTTATTAAATATTTGGCACTTTTCTCTACTAGGAGCTTATGTGTTACAAATGTAAAAAGTAGCCATTACACTTCACTTTTGGAATTGTTTCTTTAGGTTTATTTGTGTTTACCCAACTTCCGGTCCCTTACGGAGGGACACTGCCTGATAGTGCCTTTGCAGCACCATAAAGCAGCCACCTTACTGGATGAGGACATCTGGGAGGAAATTCAGGTCAGCATGATCATGCTCATTACTGCAATTTGCAAATCCTCAGCATTTTTTCAAACTGTTGTGATAAGTTCCCACGGGTTTTATTTTTCATCCAGTGATTTTGCTTTCTGAACTTTAAAATGTGTATGCCTTTCCATAGTTGTGTATGCCTGTGGATCGCAATGTTTTCACCACTCACTGTTTCTCTGTTTTCTTTTGTTTAAATATTCCAAGTTTTGAAACCTTTTGTATGAAACTGCTGTTGCTTGAAAGCAGGTATATTATGCCGGGTGCAGTCCTTACCAATTAGTGGTCCCTCCCCCTCAGGCCTTCCTTGTTTACTCCCCGAATCCCTTCACCCTCCTCATCTCCCCACTAGCCACTGCTCTATCC